TACAAATATACTGATAAAACACATTTCTAATCATCACTTACCGTCCATGTAACTTGAATGGTGGTGGGACTCAGGACAACAGGGTTATGCAGCCGAACTATGACCTCGCCAAGCTCCTTCTGAACATGCCTGTGGTCCACTCCCTGAGCTGGAGGGCTTATATCTATAAAAGTGTAAAGTATTGCAAAAGAAAAGGAGAAAAAAAAAAACATTTTCTATAGTGAGGGGGAAAAATGGTTCAAATGTTTATCTGGGAAGTTTCTGCACCTTCACTGGTTTGACTGAACAACCACAGCAACAAATTAACTCAGAATTTGTGACCCTCAGACGTATTAAATAGAAGATTAATGGGCACTATGACACTCTTTTCCAGTCCATTTCCTCCCCACATATGTTTTAAGTTAAACGAAATAAAAACTTTACTATATGAGATCATGAAAGTGGTAAAAATGTCCCACAGTTTGAGTTATTTACTGATATACAGAGAAATAATTCACAGGGGGAAATTGTATTTTTAAATGAAAAACCTTCAGATAATGCATTACAGTTTTAAATCACACGCCACATTAATAAGAAGAGTTAAAAAAAGAAAATCCATCAACAACATTGCATCGTAAAGCCATATATCACTTCAACAATGTTAATGGTGCATGAGTGAGGGTAGCTGAAATTCACATTCAAAATTTTGGTGCTGTTGGGTTTTGTTTGAAAGAGTATCGCTGAAAACTGTTTTTACTATCCTTTTCTGCTTTTTTTTTTTATTAATGGAAACTTCTACCACTACAGACTGAAGACTGTGGTCTACCCAGAATGTAATCGAATCCTTTCTGGCTTTGGAGATGGTCATTTTCTGCTGCAATAAAGATTATCAAAGCATGGAAGGAACTAATGCTGTTAGGCCTTCCAAAAGTAGACATGCTTATTTTACATAATTGCTTAAGTGTAGCCTTAATGAGGTGAGCTCGGCTGAAGAATTTGACCTCTGGAACATTCTGCAGTGCTTTAGCACAGCTATTGGCCACAAATTGCTGAGCGAGAATGATAAGGATCCCACTTTAGTGAGGGAAAGTGAACCGCATCGTGTAATAGAAAAAGAAATTATGTCCCGGAAAAAAGGGAGAAAAACTTAAAGTGATTATTGTAGCTTCAGTGAATAATCAATAAACATTTTTTTTTTTTTTTTTACTCAAGTAAGGTACCTTGTGTTCTAACAGGATCAGACATCGGGCTTGGATCACTCAAGCCCTGGCTGTTGACTGCTCGGACCATGAACAAGTAGATGGTATTGGGACGAAGACCTTTCACGGTAAACTGGGTGGTCTTGACATGATCTGCCACTGTTTGCCAACTGTTGCTCACAGACTGACTGTAAGAGGAAAGAAAAGGTGCATTTACATATTTTTCTGTGCAGTTTCCTTAAATAACTGTAGATCCGTAGATGCAACTGTCAGGATTCAGCATACAATTTCATAAAATGGTAGAAACGCAGTAAGAGATTAAAGAGATCAAATGATTTAACTTAAATATCCCTGACTGTTGAACAACATGTCATAATAAAAAGTCAGATCTTTAAAATGAGCATTCCTAAGAGCCAAACTGCAGTAAATCCAACACACAGGAAGAAAAAAACATTAGCTATTTTCAAAATCAGTGATGTGCTCAAGGAATGAGATAAAAATTAAGCTCTTTAAAAAAACAGATTTATTTTCATGAGCTGACAGATGTTAATCTACCGTAAAAAATTATATACACAAAGACTAGAATGCTTTTTATATGTTCCAATGCGATAGAAAAAGAGAACAGTCAACTGGTGTTGGCACCAGGGCAAAGCTTATAAAAAATTATAAAATAGGTGTCAGGTTTCTAATTGGTGCAGACAAACCTAAATGCTTCGATGACAAAAGAAGAGACAGGAGATGCTCCAGTCAACCCAGGCTGCCAAGACAAGGACACGCTGTTCTTGGTAACATCAGTGACCTGGGGTTTTGATGGTGGACCTGGAAGCTCCTTCTCATCAAAGTTCTTGGTAACTATCACCGCAGCTGAATCTGTTTGGAGAAGACAAATGTAGCCTTCAGGTCATAGTTGAGAAGTTTTATAACCTTCCAAATTTATTCCAACTTAACTAAATGGCAACATCTCACAAGTTTTTTTTTTTAAAGTTTAATTTTTTTTTATTATTATTTAAAGGGGGAGATGTCAAGAAATTATTAACATGTAAGGTTTACTTTCAACATAAACTTTCAATTCCTTACTCAAAATCAATGTCTTCCTAGCTCTGTAATTAATTAACATGAAGTCCAGCAGAGGGTCATTTCTACCTGCCCTTTTTAAAATGAGAAAGAAAGGAGAACATAGCATCACGATTTGAATATTTTCAAATCTAAAAAGACATCACAGATAACATAAAAATCTGGGGTCAAACTGTTTGTTCTCCTCGGCCACATCACACCAAACATTTCACTGAGAACATTTTTGTCGTCAGACAATAAATCTTGCCAAACTTCTACAGATACATAACGTTTTTTCAAAAGAGACTTCTTTTAATAAAGGAAACTTATTCTTTCTGGTTTAAATGAGTATTGGTGTTTGTGAAAGAAAGAAAAAGCCTCTCTGCATTCAACTTGTTTACCGCTGGTCATCTGGGATCACAGTGATCACTGGTAATACATTATCAGGAGATGTGCTCTGTTGTTAAGATAGTATTATGCTGAAGCTGCAAAAATAAAGCACTTAATGAAAATGAGCGGGCGTGTTCTATTACTCACAGGTCTAAGCTGGTTTTTAAACGGGGATTATTGCAGGTAAAGAGGTTTGTGTCGTGGTTCAGATCAATACTGACCAGAACTATTTGCTGGGACAGCTCATAATAAAGAGAGAATATCTGGGATGTTTTTATATTATGTTCCCTTCAAAGCTGTCCTTGGGGGAACACAACACACGGTAGGATAGCAGGCAAAGACAATTCAACATGTTTGATATCCTCCATTTGAGATCAGAGGATTCCAGATGTTTCACCAAGTGAACCCAATCAATCTTAACAAAGAACACGGTAGGACCACCTCCGTGATTAACGAAGATGGGCACGATTATCCTGCCGTGTAAACCGCCCTTAAGGGTGGTAATCGTAATTAGGAAATAGCTAAATGAAACACCTCCGTATCTATAGTTGACAGAGCAATAATTCAAAAAACTTTGACAAAACTAGAAAACAAGATGAGTGTTTAAGTTTTCTTCTCAATATGCACTGAGAGAAATATTTGAAGGAAGGTAAACTAATAAAATATTTCCCTCTAGAAAAAACACCAGCATGTTTTTCAGTGTGAGATGATGCAACTGCTGTGAAAGATTATTTTACTTACAAGCTTTATACTCATTTAGAGACTCTTTTCCAGATGTAACAATAAACAACTGTACTCTAATTTTATGCAGTTACACTGACATGCACACTTTGCTTTACCTTTGACTTCCAAGAAAGCACTCCATGATGTTTCCCCGCTGGAGCTGGTAGCCACACACGTATAGATCCCAGAGTCTGAAAGCTGGCATTAAAAACATCAATCAGGAAAAGCATATTGACAGCACTGACACACAGATCTTTCCAACACCCTGAGTGAAAAGTCCCCTTTGATGACACTTTACATGCTAGCCCCCTGCTGGACAAAATGACGCTCATTTGTGAGTATCTCAAACTGCTGACGCTAATTTCTTAATGAAATCCATTTTCCACTCACCATCCTTCCATCATTTTCCCACCCTCCCTCCCCCTTATTTCCCCACTGCCCAACCCTGACCAAAACAAAGCCAGGCTAATTAATTTAGGGTGGGTTGCTGGATCCCCTGGACTGTTGACAGCTGGCATGTCTCTCCATCTCTCTTAGGAACTTTGGTTGTTTGTTGGTTTTAGTCCACGTGCCTTACTTCCATTTATTAAATAACATGTCAGTGGTCTGCAGCTTTGTCAAGCATAATAGGTATTCCGTTGAGGCCTCTGAGTGGGTAAAGGAAGATGTGAGCCTCTTAAATCTAATCTAGTATAAATGTGCACGTGTATACGTGTGTGTGTATATATATATCAGTAAGTGAATATATATTCCCCTAAACAGCTGGAGTCCATTCAACTATCTACAGCTGAGCCCATTTGAAGCTTTCGCTTTTCAAAGTGATGCTATCAAACACTTAATAAAAAAATCAATGAAGACTATTCATCTTTTAAGGCATCATATCATATGTTTTTGCACTGATTTGCAGACTTGAATAAAACTCGTCTTATAACTACACTTAGTTTACCATATCTACAAAGCAACATATTGGCCAATTTGTTATGTAAAAATAACTCAAGCTAAATTCTAAAGCCACAACAGAAATGCTTCAGCGGTCATGTTCAGGGCTGTTTACAAGGTCGGAAATTAACTTCTTGACTCACTGGCCAAGTGGAGCAGAGGACAAAATTATTTACCGGCCAAGTATTATTTTTAACAGCCAGATAAAATACAAATATTTCCTCTCATATATATTTAAGGAACATATTGTTTCTGTAATGCATTATGTTAGATGTGAACACAGTTAAAGGGGAACAAAGCGGCGTGTGTATGACGTCATCCGCGCGTCTGCTACCATTCCTTCATCCTGTCCACTGAACTGCTGCTAGTTTTACTACCTGGAAGGTCTAGTGCTACTAC